AGGGCTGAAAGCCCTATGAAGCGGTATATAAGTCTTATTGCTATTGCTATTGGTTGTCAGTGGGGGGGAATGGATCTAGCTTCAACATATTCTTCCTTCAACAATAATAAAGTCCACTAGAAGTTATTGATGAGACGAGACCTCACGGATACAGCTACAATGACAGAAAAGGCAGAATCACATTTGCTGTGCAGTTTTCATAGATGGCTTCTCACTGAGCTACATTCATATGATGCTTGTTACTGTTCTTTTTCCTACCTGTAATATTTTTCTTACCTGTAATGGACCATCTAAGAAAAACTGACAGTTACCTTGGTAACATGTAATGTAGACAGACATATTCAATTAAATTTGATATTCTGACCATATTATCCAGCAAACAGTGCAGTAACAGTTTTGTGATTCAGATGGGAAAGTTGGCTGCTGAGTCCTGACTATACTGTAGTAGTTGAAGTTATTTGGCAATTAGTGTTTCCAACGTTTTTTCACAAGGTGTGTCAACCTGGCCCTAGGAACTGACTCCATACAAATTGTGTAAGAATTTAAGATGTTTCCTAAATCTAAAGCTTTTCCAGTCTTTTATGTCTCATGGTGGTTAAACAGATGCATCTCCCATGTAATTCACTAGGTTACCCTGGGCTCTACCATTACGTAAAAAGAATTTATGTTCCTTTGCTCCCCCCCCCCACCAATACAAGAGTTTATATATTTATCCCCTCCACAGAATGTTATATCCAGACTAAAACAATCTAAAATATGTGTTTTATCCTATATGGGAATTAGTCTCACTGCCATGATTTCATGTCTCTCTTTACATGAATAGCCTACAGATGGATCCAGCTGTCTCTTGAAAGAAAAATAAATGCTTTCATGCTCCACCAACATTAATAAACAAACAGAAGGAAAGTTCTTCCTTATGAGATAGGCAGATAGATTTGTCTGGCCACAGACTGCTAGGTAAGGTAAAACTGGTTCAACAAAGCTTTTGTGTTTGTAGACAAATCCAGAGAGTTACTTAACATGATTGTGTGACACTCATACTATACATTCTATAGAACAAAGAGAAAATAGGTGTTTCAGTGAAGACTGTAGGTGCATACTGACCAAAGATTCTTTTATTCCCAATCTCTATGATTCCATGTAATCAGGAATGCCACAAAAAATCCATAGGCTATGAACAAAGCCTTAATTATTTCCTGAATTCTGACTATAATTTTTAAATTTATTTATACCCGACTTTACCCCCATGAAATTTACAATAATTACATTGGTTTCTCAGCTGGTACTGATGTGAGCCTACATTTGGTCAGCTTCAGCAAAGCTGATAGATCAGGAACTTTTAAATATATTATCGACCAGATTCCCAGGAAAAGCTGGAGTTACAGTTTAGCAACACCTGGAGTGTTAAATTGCTTCCTTCTACATTAAGTCCTATTGCAAGGCAACAAAATGGTTTGCTAAAAAAAACCAAAACCCTACTGCTTATACATAGGACAAAGATATCAAAGGTCTGCAACCATGGTCCTTTTCCCCTACTTTTAAATAGGCACAAAGAATCAACACTCATCTCCTTTCCTGTTAATAAAGGAAATTTAATAGTTTGTTAAAAACGATTTGCTTAATCAAAGGCAGAAACTAATACTAATATATCCCATGCCATCAGATTTCTGAGGCAGTTTAAGACTTCATATATTGTTTCAACTAGTTATGGGACAACCATCTTTTCATATATCATATAATATTAAGACTTTCATAAAAATAGAAAATAATCCTCCTTTTAAAACTTTTAATATATTAGATTTGATGGGACCAAATGATGCTAATATGAGGTGTGAATTATTTACCCCATTCCCTTTTTGTACAAATATTTCAATGAAATCCTTAGAATCATCATTGCAAAGGCTAACGAAACTGCTGACATGGTGTATATGTAGCTTTATTGTTACTGTTTGTTGGTCTTACCAGTTTCCTTCCTTCTTTCCAGACAATGTTGGAAAATGGTGCTGCTAAATTATCATGTAACATTTACCTCATGCCAGAATAACCATTACAACAATCTGTCTTAAAAAGATAGCCCATTTTTAACAAGCCCCTTAATTAAAAAGCAGTAGTTTTCCAATGTCATTAGTAGACATTTCTTTCTTTTTACAGTAAAGATTAGGATTCTATTAGAAATTTGAAATTTAGAACTGACCAATTTTAGAGAGGCATACAGATGGTCAGATTCTATGCTACAAGAATGACTCATAGGGATTTTTGTTTTGTTTGTTGTTTCAAAATTGCAAAACAAGTTGGAGCTATAGATAATAGAATTCTTTCCAAAAAAAGATATAGGGAGAGCTATTTAAATTACAAAAGAAAAGTCTGCAAGGAAAACTGGGTAAATTGTGGATGCTTTCCATTGCTAATAGAACTGAGAGGAATGGCTGGATTATTTTTTAATAGGCATTAACTTCTAAAGTTGCAAAATGAACATGACTAAATTCTATGAAAAACTTATTTGGCCATGCCATGCATTCTCTTAAAAGCAACAAATATCTGTCTGGAAGGGATCAAGCATTTTGGTTTGCTACATACAATAAAACATAAACCTGCATAAAGATATAGACCACATTTCTACAATTTCTTGAGGCCTCCCTTTGTTACCTTCAGCTCCATGAATATTTCACAAAATATTCATTAATTCAGTTCCATGAAATTTCACCAAGTTGAGGAAGATCGAAAAACCCTAAAGCTTGCAATTATTAGCAAAATAAAAATTCTGGTAATGGATGCTATTTCAACCCACCCACATATAAAATAAACATTAGTGTTTGTCTACACTGTACAGCTGAGGTTGTCTCAAAATATTTTGATTCCATAAAAATTTCTCAGAGTAGTCACAGGAATAAAGTTGTCAAAATGCATGGCAATCCTGGTTTTGAAATGATAACTTGGATTTATAGCAACATACAGTATGTGATTTGGTTTCCCCCAAGTGTCTTATAGCTGTTTTATTCCATGCCTCACACAGAAAAAAGAAATGGAAACTGCACTTGGCATTTTGTATATACCAGATGGAATATGGTATGAGTGTTATTTTAATTGAATTTACAGTTTAGGCAAGTAAAAAGACATTTTTCAGATGGGTAGGAATAAGAAAAACAAATCTGAGACAGTCATGCTATAAAACAATTCTCTAAAGTCTATACCAACTGTGAGGAACTTTGTTAGCTATAAAACATGGGGGTTACAGGAGTTGAGATTCAACAATAATTGGAGGACCACCACTAGATTATGGCTTCGTAAATTCCTGCATTGTAATAATTTGAGTCCTGCATCAGACATCTGAAAAATATATATTGTGTAATACTTTTACTCTCCAGCTGGGGGCATGACAGACTTGTATTCAGAATACACTGAATATTAAAGAGCTGGTATAAATTCAATAAGTTAATAAAGAAATAGCATTTAAAGAAACTACATAAAGATATTTTCTATTGTTGTTTTCCCAATTGGTGGTAGTATAATAACTATCTTACAATTCTGTATATATAGAGTTACTACATGCATTGGAGAGAACTGTATTAGAAAGCAGATTAAATACTGTATAATCCCTCTTCTACCATCCAGACCTGTGAAAATTACCAAGCTATTGTCAGCCTCTAAATAAAATTGAAATCCCCCAGGCAGTTATACTTGTCACGACTCCAAAACCTTCAACTGAGTCCACAGCTTCCTCTTCACAATTGTGTTTTTAATAGGTTATATAGCCTTAGTGCAGAGTGAACACCCTGACATTGTAATCAATAGGTTAACTTAAACTTAATTTAAAACATATACATAAGTGATCAATTCAAAGTAATAATAATAAGTGCTTATAATTAACTGAGATTGCAATTCACACATTAGTGAATAATGCACTGAGGAATTTGAAGACCTATGGCCTGTTACTGAAAGGCCTGAGTTTTCTGTCATGTCCAGATTTTTTTTGATGAAAATTGCTCTAGATGCCTGCTCAAAACTCTTTAGTCTTTAGGTTAAGTCTTCTTCATAATATTGAATTCTAAACATCATGCTCTTCTGATGTAGGGATATAGGGAAAGAAACTAGGGATTTTACATCCATATGTAATTCTCTTGTCTTCATTTAATCATATTTTGGGGTAATTGAATTTCTCTGTGGCCCAATTTAAGGGGATTGCGTGTCTTTTTATTATAGCATTATTTGAAGTATCAGAAGAATCTATGGATGCTCCCAGATACAATGTACAAAAATAGCTAAAAGTGAGGTGATATTTTTCCTCTTCAACAGAGTTTTGGAGAAAAATATAGAAGTCGTGATAAAACTCAAGAAAATTACAAGCAGAAACTAGATCAGGACCCAAGGCACATACATTAAATTGTTTTTCTTCTACATAGAGTTACTGATCACTGCATAGATTTTCGGTCGTGGTTTCTATAAATCATAATTTTATATAGATGCTGAAAAATTTTGTAAACACCTGTCTCCTTGCTACTAACTACAAAACAATTCTTTCAACAAGAAGGAAAATTGTGCGGAACTATCCTTAATTCCTACTGTATATTATAATCAACAACACTTTACAGTTTTGACTACATTGAAAACAGAGAACCACGATTACCTGCTCAGATATACAGCTCTGTTAAGTAGAAAGCTTCAGAGAGAGAATGTGCCTAACAATTTAGTTAAAAGAAAAAAAGTCTAACAAAATCTGTTTCAGGATTATCCTCTTTCTTCATTTTAAAGGATCTTTTGAAAAATAAAAAATAAGTAAAAATAAAAAATAAGTAAAAATAAAAAATAAGTGAAAATAAAAAATCCAAGTTTGAAGTTATATTTGCAAGTACAAAATTGACTGAATATTGAATAATAGGTGAAATTTTCAGCTACTTTATTATTTTTCAGCTCTAGCATGACACTTGAGATACTTTTCCAACATCATGAATTAAATAAGATATGAGATTTTCATTGCTGAAAAAGTCATTTTAATCACATATAATTTGCCAACACGCAGCTGCTCTTAATTTGCTATCTTGCATTGAAGACTATTTCTTATTATTGTGTGTTAAATACAAGTTCATATCTATAGAATGCTTTTCATAAAACTACAGTCACTTCTCCAGATGAAACATTCCCCTTCATCGTGTGCAATATATATAATTTTAAAAGTCCTATAATTATTCTAAAAATTACACCCTTGGATATAGTATAGTAAGAAAGACTAAGTTGTCTAGTTTGCCTCTTAGATAGCTATTTTGCTATGTGTTGTACATTGTTTTTCCTGTTAAGGAAAAATTAGCTTTCTTGCTTGCTTGCAAAATGGTTGCCAAAGGAATAGAAACTTTGGTTTTAGCAAGAGAATTCCAAACCTAATCTTCAATTGATGGAAGAGTACATCAGATGTAGTATGAAGAGTTTCAGAAGTTACATTTTCCTTTCACTCTTAACAAAGAAACTTTATGGGGAATTAACTATTTCATAAATCAGGTCTGAGACAAGAAGCTATTGAATTAAAAAATAAGACCAACAGTGACCAGTATACCTTTCAGCAAACTAAAATGAAATGTGCAGTTGTGTCTTATGGGTGATAAGAACATGTTATCTCTGATTGGCAATCAGGCTTCCACCACATGGCTATGGTGCTGGTCACCTGCAAATTAAAATATTATTGCTAGATATTGCTAAGTTGCTTTTATTTAATGTGAAAAGCTTCTTATGTGTCATATTAAAACAAGTTATGATATGTGTTTCTGTAGAGTGGAGCAACGCACACCACCATTACAATGTAAGATGGGACATTTGCAGCTTTACCCTCCAACTGCAGGCAGTGAATTCTGAATATTATATTCCTAATACAATTGGATAGCATCAGAGAAAAGAAGGGTAGATAAATGTGTTACGATCAGGAGAACCTGACTCAAGAATGTAGATCTCCTATGAATACAACTAAATTCATATAAATACAACTAAATTCATATAATTTCTGGCCACCAGTTTCTTGGTCAAACAAACTGCAGAAAGTAGTAACTGCAGAGATTTAGATGAAATTTGCAGTGAAACATAAAATGATGCTCCCCCCCCCATCCTCAAACCCTAGTATCGATTTAATGTTTAAAAACACTTCAAGGAGTTTTTTATGCGAAGCAGAACAAGCTAATTAAATAATGGTACAAGTTGCAAAGCATAACACTGAGAAGAAAGAAAACCTCTCTCAAAATCTTCAAAATAGAAGTTGGAGGTAAATAAAAAATGGTAGTTCTCTGACAGAACATGATGAAATAAAATTTGCTACACTACTGCAATGCATATCAAAATATTTTCAAGTACAAACTAAAAAGGACTCCCAATGGAGAAGGATAGGTCAAAGCATGAATTCTTTTTAACTGTACTGCTCCTCTGAGGAGCTGAAAATAACTTCTTCCTTAAAAGAGTTGAAAACCTACTTCATTATTTTATAAAATGAACACTAATAAACGATGGCTAAACAAAATTGGCAGCAAGATAGTTAACATTCCAACAATGCAGTCACATTAGAGGCTGTGTTTTTGGGTTGGTTGTTATCATAAAGTGCATATATCTTCATGTGCAAAACCTTACACAGAGAAACTGGGTCCTCATGTTTTACCTAGTCTGCTTGCAAAAGAATATTTGTCAGTAATGCTGTACCAATGTCAACAGAATTGATTTCTGATGTGCCGATTATGTCCCAGAACCCCATGAATAGATATTTTAAATCAGATTAGAGGTGTAATCAAATGAACACTCTCTCTTCTAGTAGAAAAAAAGTTATGTGTAGAGTTTCACTTTTACTTCTCTTTCCACCTACACATGCTCAATTTTTAATGAAACCGCAAAAACAAAATATGGAATTAGGTATAGTCCCAGATGATTAAACCAGATTCTGTGATCCTGCAAAAGTAAAAATAAAGATTCAGTAGCAGATGCAACATGCCCACCAACTTGGTAGGAATAAACTGAGATCAGGAAATCCTACAGCAGCCGTGCACCTTCTCCTCCATTTCTTCCATGGGAGCCTTGAATTTTAAGAGAGGTGGGTCACCACTTGACATGGTGTAATAAACTGAAGTTCCATTGGATGTGTAAGAAGGTGTCCTGGAACTAATCAAATGTTCTTTAGCTTCTCCCCCATTTTCCACTGAGTCTCCTATACTGCTAGCAAAGTGTGTACTGATGAAGGGATGGTTGAGAAGTTTGGCTGCTGCTCGCTGCCGTTTCAGTTCAGAAAGGGTTTGGTGGCTCCTTTCTTTGTAGTCATCCCAGATGTGATGAGAGTCAGAAATCCCAGGAGTATTGTAGGGCAATGCTTGGCTTCCATCATTGTCCAGAACTGAATGCATTATCCAAACATCTCCATTTGGAATAGAATACTGGTAAGGAATGGAGGATAGATTGAGTCCATTCTGAAGCAGATTTTCTGAATCACATTGTATTCCTTTTGTTACCAGCTCTGGAAGGATTATAGCTGTATCAGTGGTCAAGTTCTAAAACACAAAAATAAATATGAGGGGTAACTTTGCTGTTCCAGCTATCAAATCCCGCCCATAATTTGCCCATGTTTACTGATTTTCTTGTATTATAAAATCAATCCCTTGTGTTCAACTACATAGCTATCCAGCCAAAGGCTCAGGACCACATAAGATATCCCAAAAGATATTCCTCAGAGACCCCTCCCCCAAAGTTCTTACCAAATTGAATTTCTTAAAGAGAGGAAAAATAGTACATTATTTGACTAGATGGTAATCAGGTCAAAGATAGTTTTCTTTTTCCTTACCCCATCTATTATGCTCCCAACACACAACTCTGAGGCTAAGCACAGCTAAGAAGAAAATGTGCAGTCTTGCTGTACTGAATGTTAAACCAATATATGACCTTTTTTCCACTGAAAGGAATTTGTAAAAAATATTTTTTTCCTTTAAAAAATGTGAGGGGCCAGCAATGATATCAACATAAGATGGAAAGGGAAATAAAGAAGATTGCATAACAGGTATATATGCTTTGGTTATCATGAGTTTTAGTTATGCAACTGGTACTTCCATTAAGATTCACATGGTTTCTTGATTGGAAATGCTTTAATAGGAACAAGCGAATTTATTAATTATTAGATTTTCCTTACAGGATCTGTGTTCTCTTGGTTAGATGAAGCCTCCCGAATGTCAATATTGTAATCAGAAGTTCTTTGCTCCTCAGAAGATTCTATCTGTTGCCAGATGATAGCCTCCTTCTCATACTCCTTTCTATAAAGGTTTGTTCGATCTGAAAGGCTTGCCCTCCGCACCACTTTTCTAGGACAAGATGTAAAGAGAAGAGATTTACTAAAATGGTGATTTGCAGAAATGAATAGCTATTTCTCTATAGCTGCACTTTTCTGAAAGAAAGAAAGACGGACTACCTGAGCAGGAATGAACCTGTTTTCTAACACCAGGTGGAACTCATGAGTCATTCTTTTTATTTATTCAAAAGTAGATTGTCAACCATTGCAAAATTGAAATTCATGGATGAATCTTCATCCATCCATATCACATACTGAATCACTCTCACTTTAAATTAAATTCATTTCTGTTACACGTTCATGGTTTAGAATTTTTCAGACAGCTATTTAATCATGTAAATATGTCAACCTGCAAATTGTTCCTCTATTAATTATAAATCTTACTGTTGCTTTTATCACAAGTTGCTGGACAAATAATAAGTACACGATATACATATCCAAACAATAAGAAATATTTGGATTCTAAATTAATTTTCATCACAATTTGTATGGAATAACATTTCTTGAGCATTTAAATACTGCACATTTAAATTCAAAAATACAAAGCTACTTTTTGGTGCATTCAAGTCAATCTTGATTCCTTGTGACTGCCTAGACAAATCCCTGTAGTTCTCATGGCAGTTTTTTGAATGGTAGTCATTTGCCATTGCCTGTTTCTTAGGGCTGAGCGAGAATGACTGGCCCAAAGTCACCCACCTGACTTTGTATTTAAAATGAACCTAGAACTCAGGGTATCCTGGTTCATAGACTGATGCCTTAACCACTACACTAAACTGGCACTCTTACGTATCATACACTAGGATATTAATCAGAGTAAGTTCATATCTATATCCTAATTATGATCTCTTGGAGTTTCATTTCCTGAACTATTCTTTTTATGGCTTTCCATAAAGCTTATGATATTCCAGATGTAGTTGCAACTTGCAGTATCCCTTTTTGTTGTCCATTGAGCAGTATTCATAGTTTAAAATATCATCACATTACCCATACCGTCTAGCTAACGGGGGGGGGGGAGTATCCTATTGCTATCCATTTTACATTGCATGAAATTCTGTTTCCAGATTACCGTACTCAAAGTATAAAGCAACTGGCTTAAATCAAGGATATGTAACGTTGAATTTATAGTTAATAAAAAGAACGGGTCAAGAGAGACTTTTGTTTTATTAGACTAAATATGGTGCCTAGATTCCAGTATTTTGTCTATAAGTTTGTCTATCTGCCTCCCCATCCCCCAAATACAATAGTAAGGTATAGTGATACAGACCTAGAGGGCATAATATGGCTTTCTCCTCTTGAAAAACAGTACGATTGACTATGCCAATGATAATCGTTATTTTGTTAAGTATCTAGCACATTTCCAAATATATCCACCTTATGAACAAGCCAAATATAATAACCTATTTAAACTTGGCAATCTTTTTGTCTATATTATCTGTTAAAACATATTTTGAATGCCATCACAGATGACAGCACATGTTGAACTGCTGTATGGTTTCTTCCTTCAACTCTACCAAATGAGTGCACAATTTTCTAACGTGAGGTCAGGTCACCAATTAATAGAGAAAATATTTATCAATAGAGTGAAATACTAATTTTAAAATCTATCTGAAATATGGACCCTATTTGCTTCAGATAAAACATGTAGAAAAATAGTGGCTTTTGGGGACAGTGTAACTTAGTACAAATATTTTGGTTAGCATTTCTGCACCTCAGAATTAGATGGTCAAGGTGAAAATCAACTTCAAGAAGTTCAACCTGTAGTTTAGAAAAAACTTGGGCAGTCTGGACTGACTAAGAGCAGATTCCCCTCCCCCTATTCACTCACCCTCTGCTTCCAGTACTTGATGTTCTCCTGTTCAAGGAGGACTTGTGCCTCATCTGAGACTTCATGATGACATCATGTTTATGCTTCAGCTCTAAGAGCAGAACCTTAAACTCCTCTTCTTCACACAGGTCTAAAGGAACACAAATAAATTCCTTTAACTGAATTGTTCAGTGATGATAAAACAAACATAAGCACAAACTATTGCATCTAGTAGACATTCTACATGGTAGTACATAGTACAGGATAAGGAAAAATAGGAGTCTTGCATATTTTTAAGAACCATAGATTTGATTGCAGATTTGCCTACTGTTATTTGAAGATCACTGTGGATTATGACTACCATATCTGAGCTATATAAATCTGGATAATTGTACCCAATGGTCACCCAGATATTTGCATCCTTCTAAAACAACTTTTTTTACTTACTGCAGATACAGTAAATATCTAGTCACTTCTGACATGCCTCTTCTGACTCTAAGGAAGAGAAAATGTGTTTCTGGTGGTCTTTTTTTCTATTTAAAAATCTATTTGAAATCCAATTTATATGTATGTACATATGTACAGTACATATGGGTTATTAGTATAATATACAGGTTGCATTCTAATTAGTAATATCAGGATTTGTAGATTTAGAGAAGTGGACAATCTAGGGGACAGTTATATTCTGAAGGATATATTTGCCCAAGAGGTGCATCTGAAACTATTCCTTAAGCATCCATGGTTAATCTATGAGCAAGTGAATATCTGGGCTCTGCTTTCAGCTTAAGAAATATTAAACACATAAATAGCTTTTAGGGCCATCTTACAATTTCACGATTACTGAAGAATTACTTAAAAGTGAATGCAATGGTTTTATTCTAAAGTGACATGAAGACATAATCCAGACTCAGCTTTTCTTTCTTGATACAAAAACCAGATTTTCTCACACATAAAGGTATTCTAAGGACCATTTCCCCATACTTTACATAATAGCAATGTCTGAGAAATGAAACTAACATTTCATGTTTAGTAAATTTCAAAAAAAATTCTGAAGGAATCCTGCAGTATCTCATCATTATCACCTACATGCTTTGCATGAACACCATTTTACAAACTGACAACTTGTATTCCCAAATTCATTAAAAATGTATGGTATTTATATTTAAAAAACTTTAAATAGCAACATTCCAGATTTTTTGTAGAAAATTTTAAGGATACAAGGGCTGGGCATGCTAAGAGAGCAATTCCTAAAAGAGAACCAAGATATTTGAATGTTGTTATGCTGTCAAAACTTTGGCTAAGAATAGAAATGGCAGAAATTCACCTATTGGCATCTCATCCATAGCTGTTCGGGCACTCAAGTTTGCCCCATGGGACACTAAGAGCTCTGCCATTTGCATCTGGAACAAAGAAAATGATTTTAAAATGTAATACCTTCCAAAAATCACCCAAGTTTTAGTTAAATCTAGCACTAACAGAAGATAAGCTAGGCTACCCATATGAAGGTAGACCCACTAAGGCGAGATATGTTTTCAATAACTACCTTAAAATTAAAATGAAGTATGACAGAGTGGGTGAAACTTTTGAATGGGAACTTTTTTCCCCTCTATACTACTAATTCTGCACATGTGCGTCATCTAACGTGCAGTATATCAGGAGACAGCAATGAGGCCCTCAATGTACAGGTTGCATACTAATAAATCAAATAAATATTTCACTTCAATTTTCCCCAAGCTGTGCCTTTCAGAAATACTGGGATTTAAATTTTCATAAGCTCTACTCAGCTTGGCGAATGGGTGACTCTGAATTCTGGAAATCATAATCGAATACTTCTGAAATATATTAGGCTGGGCAAGACTGAGCTAAATTAGCTCAGTTGTAGGTTATTCTGTTGTTTTAAGGACAATTCACAACTAGGTAGTGCAGGAAATTACTATCCTACTCTCTGCTTGCTTTTTCTCACAAGAACAGCCCCAAGCGGATGTTCAGTGACACACAGTTCTGGACAGATTCCATATAGCTATATGGTAAATATCTCTTCATAACACAATTTTTCTTGAGTTTCTGTAGCCATATTTGAACTCGTCTGTTAATGAAACACATACATGTCCCCAGAAAGCTGCAGCATGGAGGGGTTCCCAGCCATCACAGTCCTTGAGGTCCAGTCTGGTTCCCTGGTCTAGAAGCAGCTCTGCTGCATGTAGATAACCATTGGCAGCAGATATGTGTAACTATAGACAGGAAGGAATCAGAATGTTTTAAATGTCTGCAATTTTCTGTAATATATGCACATGTATCTATGTATACTCTCATTTTTTTATTTGCTTTTTTTGCATATTCTTTTTAATACTGGTTTTTGTCTTGTTTTGATTTGACTTACAGCTATCCTGGTATTTATTCTACAGGACCACTATTATGTAACTTCATTATCAGTGGCTTGCTATAGTAGTCGGTCTCATTTCAGACTAGGGGAAGCTAGTGTTTAATATGACTTCTGCTCTTATATTGACTTAACAAAATAAATGTGCACTATTTAATATATAATAACTGAGTATTAATTAATCAATGGTAAGATTTCTTAAGCAAATGGAAACAGGTAATACCTGAGCCATTCAGATAAGAAATCTTATAACTCTTTTAAATAAATAAGTAAAATAAAATTGCCTAGGACTCAACTAAAGGTTGAGTCCATTTTATGTTGCATTTTTTTTCTGCTTCTATTTGTACAGTGGAAAAATCCTGTTAACTTTGCTTCTTTTTTAACCCAAAAGGCTCCCCTGAAGCTGATGTTAGGAGAAGATTCAAAACAGATGCCATTCTAGCTCTTTCCTCCCACCACATCATGCCACAGGTAATAACAATTTTGGAGAAGAGAAAAGCAATTTAACTGTGTTAACTGGCTCTGAAGGAAAAGACTGGACTAATTTTTCCTCCCCAAATCCCTAGTGAGATGGCCTCACTCCTAATTACACAACTGTACCATGATTTCAGCAGAGCAAAAAGTGTGACCATAAAACCCCTGGAGAAATGGGCAAAAAACTTTCTCTCTAGTTCAACATTAATGATGTATATAGCAGCCATTCAAAAAGCAAGCAGAAGTTAAAGGCAACAGCTATCTTCCATATTATTCCAGAGCAGCATTTATTTAAAGATGCCACCTTTGATTCTGGAGATAATTTACAGTTGTCAAGTCCAGCAGTCTAATCTCTAGGGATTTTCCTTTGAAGCTGCTTAGAATGATGCCCACCATTCACTATTAGTAGGGAATTCTACAGTTTATGAATGAAACAAGATCTTTTATTGGTCTAGAATTCCATTCCTTATTTAGATTCACTGGATAATATGGGGAAATCTTTTTTTATGGCACAGGGTAATGTCTATTATGTTTTAGTAAGACCCTAGTAATATTGTACAATATGTATTTCATTAGAACTGCACTCATGTTATTAAAAATCATGCATTGTCAAAGTCAGCATCAGCATTTATGAATATATAGGACCATTCTTATAAAGTCATTTCATTTATTCTGTTTTATGCATTACATTTCACATCATTATTTGAATGTATTTTCTAGATCACATAATGCAGAATTCACCATTAACAAGTTAACGGTAATAAAAATATAAGGAAAATATGATTATTGATTTCCCTTGCTCTGTTATTATATTGAGTTTGTAATTCCAGTTCAATCTTTGACATAGCCTCCCATCGTCCAGTGCGATCCCACAGAGTTGGCCTCCTCAGGGTGCCGTTGGCCAGACAGTGTCGGCTAGTGACCCCCAGGGGGAGAGCCTTCTCTGTGGGAGCGCCTTCCGTCTGGAATGAGCTGCCCCCAAAGCTTCGTATAATCCCCGACCTCCGGTCCTTCCGACGCGCCCTAAAAAGTTGGCTTTTCCAGCAAGCCAGCTTGGCCTGAACAAAACAAAATACAGTATTGATCACTGTTAATTTTAATTCGATTTTTAAAAAAAAATGTATTGTCAATTTTAATTGGGTTTGGGATATTCCATTTAATTTTTTTAAAAACTTTTATATCATGTGTTTCTTTTAATTGTTGTACGCCGCCCTGAGTCCTTAGGAGAAGGGCGGCATATAAATCTACTCAATCTCAAATCTCTCTCAAATATACAGTATTATACAGTAGAGTAACATAGCAGAAGCTTTTACAGGGTGAAACATCTAATTTAGCATTGAGTTTAACCTCATCCAGAAAGGCAGTTCCATGATAATCTCTACTATTGAATGCAAAACCGATGAATAGATAGATAAAACTATACGACTAGTTTATTCAAATCTCGAGTTCCAAATTTAGCTTAAATTAATGATTATGCCATAAGACCAATATAGTTTGTTAAGAGATTTCTATTATTGTTGTTGTTATTGAACATACATAGGATCTGGGCCATTCCATACTTTCAGCCAGGGGTGTGTTTCTGCCGGCATTACTGCTGGTTCGCTGCGTGCGTGCTTTGTAGGTGCCCAGTTGCTTGTAAAATGATCTGCGCATACACAGAACAATAAAAAAGGACCAAAAAATGCCGGCAATGGCCTGCTCACTGGGGAACCGGTTCAGAGGTGTGCCAGCCTGGGTCGCTGCCGGTTCTGCTACCCAGGCCAACAAACCACTACCAGTTCGCCCAAACCAGTGCCAACCCACAACAACCCACCTTGCTTTCTGCCAACTACTCTTAATTTCTATGTAAATTTCAACTGTATAGAAACATTGTGTTTAACTCTGCCTTTAGTGTACATGTACTAGAGTTTGCATGTGGCAACTTGAACATTGGGTTGGTTTTTTGGGTGGGGGTGGGGGGTTGCAACCCAAAATTTTAATTCCTCCCATTCTGAGGCAGAAAATGTAACATGCAACACACCCAAATCATCTCTCCAGCCCCATCCACGAATTTAACAAGGTTCTATATGTCTGTTTCCAAGTTAAAAGCAGCTATACTTTTCCAAATGTAATACAGGAGAAGCAGCCTTTAAGCCTTGCCATAATGTATACATATACATATACATACACAGGTTGAAGCAAAAATAATGAATAAGCAAAAATTCTTCATTTTTCCTGGAGGACCCCCTCCCCACCTGATTTTAGGACCACGTTATTTTAAGAAAACCTTACAGGGTATCTTGAAGGTGTATAGGTCCAGCTATTTTCAAAGAGGGCCAGTCTGCACACACTAACTGTAAAAGTAATGTGGCTATGGCTCACCAGTGAAGCACCTTGAGCATCTATTATGTTCAGATCCTCTCCTCTTCCAATCATCTCTGAAATATCATCAATCATTGCCTGTTCAGGAGCAGCTCGCATTTCATTGATTTTCTCTTGTGTGATTCCTACAATGAATAAGAGAGGAAATTTGCATTGTAAGAATTCCTGGAAACATTAAAGCAAATGAATAGGGGAGAAATAATTTTTAAAAGTGCCTTTCATATTTATATATTTAAATGCAAAACTGCTGCTGCCAATACCCATTCCAATTCCAGGGTCTCAGTATAATTCTCTTCTCTATTCCCAATATCCAATATAACACATATTCCCAAAAATTGATGAGATTCCATGAAAAGTACTATTACCCCAGATATCAAAGATTGAATTTTTTATTTTTTATTTTTGAAAAGGTATTTTTGACGCTTCAGAAACAGTGATGCAATTAAGAATATCTCTTTGGCCTAGATTTTATCTTATTTTACAAGACTAAACATTTTTTATTCAGGCCCAGGAACATAGCCTTTTTTGTCCTGGAACCACTCTCTGGAACATCTTTCGCCCAGAAATCAGATTTGTCCTGATCCTCTCAGCCTTATGCAAGACCTAAAAGACATGATTCTGTCTGTGACAATTTTTATTGTGTGTTTTTTTTAACCTTGTTTGTCCTTGTTTAATTTCTTTTCTTTGCCTTGCTTTTGTAAGTCAATAGCTAATTAATTTGCTGGGCATCTGCATATTGCTGTCTTTTAAATTATTTTTATTTTTAAATTGTATTCTCTGTATTTCTTTTTTTAAATGGCAGTAAAATTACAGATATAACATAATACAATGTGTCTATCCTAGTCTCGGTGCTTTAAGGCGTACTGGAGATCAGAAAAATTCTACTGAACTCTCCAACTAAAGTTAGAAAGAGGAAACAGACTTGAAAGTTTTTTAAAAAATGTACCAAGTCCTTCTTTTCCTTATGAAATATCTCAGTACCAACTGGAGGAAGAATTGCATTCTTGACCTTGACTTCAGAGCTATATTGTATAATGTGTCCTTTGTGTAAATGAACTGTAATGATTTGATACTCTAAATAGTCTTCCTCTTACATAAGTTTTAGAAATCATTTCGGAGAGTAAACATTGCATTGAAATATATGAATACTTTTCTTAATTATTAATGCATCAAAAAGAAATATTTAAAAAATCAAGGTTTTTTTTTACATTTTCTTATGGGAAAAATTGTAAAAAATATATTGATAATGCACCTACTATTTGTTTTTTATATTTTGGTTACTTTTTACCATCATATTGACGCATAATATCTGAACAAACGTGCTGCTATCTTTTCGGTAAGAAAAACCATTAAAAAGGCATTTTAAAAAATCAGGATTCTTATGAATGTTACTTTTTCAAATTCTTTTGATCTTTTACAAATCTAATAATAATAAACAAAATGTTATTTTATGCAAAACAATTGCACATATTATGTATCCATGACTCCAAGCATAAAATATAGCTCACAGTTAATAAAATGAACAAATGAATGGAAATGCTGCTTCTGCATTTCCACTACAGGTAGCCCTCATCTTATGACCACAATTGAGCCCAACATTTCTGTTGTTAAGTGAGACATTTGTTAAGTGAGTTTTGCCCCATTTTACGACTTTTCTTGCCACAGCTGTTAAGTGAATCACCGCAGTTGAAAAGTTAGTGAACCTGATTTTTATGTGAATCTGGCTTTTCCATTGACTTTGCTTGTCAGAAGGCTGTAAAAGGTGATCACATGATCCTGGGACTTGTAAATATTGTTGTAAATATGAATCAGTTGCCAAGCATCTGAATTTTGATCACATGGTCATGGGGATGCTGCAACGGTCATAAGTCACTTTTTTCAGTGCCACTGTAACATGGAACAATCGCTAAATGAACTGTTGTAAATTGGCTGCCTGTAGTGCAATCTAGTGCCAAATAAGTGCTTAGAAGATGGCAGAACAGTATTTTCCAATTTGATGGTGCTGCACCTATGTTTGTCTATAACTCCCAGAATTCCAACTGTGATCAACAGCAAGAATAAATGAGCATTTCACACCAATGCATCTGAAAGGGAAGAGATTGGTACAAGCTGCCTTAGTCTCCAAACAAAAAAATTATACCGTGGGGCAAAAATTTGACAGAATTTCATCTGATGCTCCAGGTTCCCATATCCTGCTTACCTTGGTATGCCATGCAAGTCTCAATAACATCCAAAGTTGGTTCATCTTCACAGAGATCATATGGCATGTTGCCATCGGCATTGACTGCCAGTAGGTCTGCCCCACTACAAGAAAAAAAAAAAGCAAGACGTGAGAGGTATCTGCCCAGTTGGATAGGAAATCTTCAGGCACTTTGAAGGATATATAGTAAAGGGCAAAAAAGTCTACGGACCAGGTACAGCCTGCCAGTATCCTCACCATTCCCAGAGTCCTACAGAGTAGGTAGAGCAAAAACGATGACCCCATTTTTTTCCCCCTGGGCAAATTTACAGCTGTCATTTCACACATGGAAAATTTCTACCATTTGGGGACACATTTTTGAAATGTAGTTCTTGACATTCCAGTAAAATAACCATTGAAAGCCAGATGATTTCTAATTTTACATACCATGCAGCAATGTCACATTTTTAATTTTCTAATTATATATTAAATGAATTTACATATTGAGTGTTATTTAGAAGATGACTGGTCATTGAGGTCACTTTTATTTTACTGAGCTCCCAACCCTAGCTAAGTGTTACTTATGCTAATGCGGGGGAGTGCTAATTTATTATTGTTGCAGTTCTTTATGATTTCAATGTGTTGTAAGCACCATTTTGCTCTTTTGATTTTGACAAGCTACAAACAAATAAATAAATACGGTGTGTTTCATAGGAAATGCAGTTCATGGGCAAATGGACAATTTATGGGAATTTATGTTTCTCCTGCATGTTTTGCAGCGCTGGTCTCACTTGCCTCATAGTTTCTTGTGTCCTATATGAGATTAAACAGATTAAAAAAACCAAAACATTATTAATGCCATATCAATCTGCAACCCCATGGCTTTTTTTTACTGATAACTAAAGAAGTTGCCACTAAGTTAATAAGCAAACATACTTCCCAAGAGTCTCACTAAATTCTAAGATGAATGAACGTTTTTTTAAAATAAGTAATCAGTACTGCGTATTGTAAATGTTTACATTCTTGAAGAACATTTCTTTATTACAGTAGAAGGTGCCAAGAGGTAGGTGTGCCCTAAACTAGCAGCCACTCCTTTATGATTTGTTTTTATGATTTCCTATGTTTTGGCCTGTGAAGCAAACATGGCAGATTTTATCAAACAGATCAAGTCTCTCCCACTTGTTCAATACATAGACCTTTCATAATTCTCATAAATGGTTATATTAAGCTGGGGGAATTCTGGGAATTAAAATCCACATATTAGAGGAGTGCATAGGATGGGAAAGACTGCAACTGGGTTTTCAAACCAGTAGGGACGGCAGGCTTGCCATGCCCCCGAACTGATTCCCCAGTCACCCGTTCCGTTGCCAGCATGTTTTTTTTAGTCATTTTATAATGTTCTGTGCATGCACAGAACAATTTATAGACAACTGCTCATGCGCAAGCAATGTGTGGCAGGCATGCATGCAACCAAACTGAACCGGCAGTAACACTGGAAGCAACCCACTCCTGAATAGGCTCTAATATAATGCTTGGAAAAAACAACTGGGATAACATATCACACTAAACCAGAATGTAGCTTGTTGTTTCTGGCTTATTACTGTACAAATCTAATTACTGTATTTTACAAATTATGGTTTAGGCTTAATGTATTATACTTGTTGAACAAATCATCTTAGTGCAAGATATGAACCAATCCATCCTACTTATTTACAAGTACGGGAAACCTTAAATTATTTATTTTGTCTGAGCAGTTAATCTCATCAAATAATGTTATAAATTCTTCTACTATTTCCTTTCTGATTCAGTATGTCCTTCTAGCACATTCTTTGTCCTCATGAATCTTTATGTAGAAACAGAATAAACCACCAGTGACCTTCCCTGGATTTTGATGTTTGACAGAATTACTGCCATTTCACTAGTAATAGCATTTAAGAATATTAATCACATAAAAGCAATTCAGCTTAAAACATAATAATGAGACTAATCGAAGTGTTGAGCAAAAACATTATGTTACTGTTTTCTATAGTTTTCACTCAATTTAATATAACAGAATTGGCAAAGGAGAATTTTTCAAGGAAAGGAGAATTCTGGGGAAATTCTCACATATAGATTATGGAAGCCTTGCATTTTAAGTACATCTTTTTGCATATCTGGCAAATAAAAAGAAGGAACTCTGTCCCTGACTTTTTCAGTAGGGATGAACTATTCTTGCCAGAGAAGGGTCCGATCCTTGAGAAACCGATAGAGAATTTCCAATTTCCTGGAGAAAATTAGAGGAATGACCACCAAACATCTCTGCCTACAAATTTGATGGAAAGTTCCAAAAACTATTGACAGTAAAACTATACCCCAGCAAACAGCTTAAAATCAAGCACCTATCTGAATTAAAATATTTTTCCTGTGAGTTCAGGTTTTCTATTGTGATTGGATATTAAGGAGGATATAAACATGGTCTCATACACAGCAATAGTCCCATACATACATTTCCCTAAAATATCCTTCCATTCTATTTTACCAGCTATTTTGTGAAGAATATCTAAATTGAGAAACTCACCATTCTGCTGCAATAAGTTAAACTGCCCAAAAGGTACCAAGTATTCTGAATTACTTGAACTTCTATATGAAAATATTCAGTGCAGATTAAGCTTGACCCATCTTAACACTGAAAGCCTTTGAAGAGGACCAACCAACCACTTTTATGCACATTTTTCTACTCCATGAGAACAGAGGAAATTAAAATGTACAATGCACCTGCAAACTGTTTCTCTGTCTATATCAGCAAACAAAGCATAAGATCAGACGTCCTTTGTGCTGCTATTACTTTTACAAGTCTCTTTGGGTTCTGTGCTCTGACACTGAAGCCTTTTGATTCTGTGCTTAAATAAGCTCTTTGATCCAAAAGACTTCTGACAGAATCCTGCTTTGATTAGAACAAACATATGCTGCTTTGTGTTCTGCAAATAAACAAATAAAAATGAATCCAGCCCATTGCCTCTTTTGATACCAAAAGCTCAATTGCTTTTCACTGCAGCAATTTCACTTGCTGCAAAGAAACAAGTATTATATTCTTATTACTGAATGCTATAGCCAAAACTTATCCTTCTCTTCCAAATTCCAGGTAGCATATGTAAAGTTTTATGTTTTATTTTATTTCTGTAGCAATCTTCTGTGATCAACTCAGAAATGGGCTACAGGGAGTAAATATATGATGGCTGACTTGCTCATTCATTCATTCATTCATTCATTCATTCATTCATTCAAAAATTTATATGGTGGTCTACCTTTTTCCAAGAACATGAATAGTTAATCAATTAAACCGTAATAATCAAATAAAAATAACCATAACAATAATGTTAATATAATGCTTTCATGACCCTTACAACCTACAATCAAACAGCTGGATTTATCTAACATCCTGGTCCAATTCCTGGGGAAATATACACCTTTTAAAAACTTTTCAGAACATGGAACTGGGGCCATCAGAATCTCATGGTAGAATGCATTAGTTCCCAAGCATTGGGACAGAGAAAGTATATCTCCATGGTCTTACTACGTGACACTGCTTCAAAGATGCAATCTGGGGTATGTCCAACCTGTCTGAATAAGCAGAAACAATTGGAAACAGCTGATACTGAAATAACCTGGCCCTATGTCAGGTTATTTATAAAAATCTCCATGTATCCATGTGTTGGGGGCAGGGACACACAGATACTTTATCTTGCCAGAACTGAGCTACAGACAGTTGTTTCCCATTCCTCCCAGCCACCAGACATTGGCAAAGAGCTTTGGCAAGTTCATAGAGCAAAGATATACAAGTACTATCAGCATACTGCTAATATTTCACCAAATCATCTCATCTAGCCCTTCATATCAGTGTTGAAAAGAAGTAGCGGGGGGGGGGGAGTAGCCTTGCAGTATCCCTGGGTGGACATTCCAACTTCTTTTGAAACTCAACGGGAATAATCCCAACTTCCTTTGAATCTCAATGGCAGTGGCGGATTAAGGCTAACTGGTGCCCTAAGCACTGACAAATCTTGGTGCTCCCCTCCTTTGTACATACTGTACAAATCTTGTTTTTTTTCTTTTTCTTTCTCAACTATGTGGTGCCCCCTTTGGACCTGGCATCATATGCACATGTTTATTCTGCTTAATGGTTAATTCACCACTGCTCAATGGGGTCCGTTAAGTATCTAGAGTGGATCAAATGAATACTGTAGGTCCTTCTTCTCTCTGGCAAAGTACAATTGAGAAAATGGCAAAAGTAATTGGGAGGTTTCAGATCAAAACGGACATACTAACATCCCACAGATCTAACATGTGACCTTCAAAAATCTGGGTCAGGTCTATAGTTGGCACGGTGGCCTTGAACTCCAAAGCTGTCTCAATCTAATTGACTAGATACTGTATGTCCGCCCCCCATTATCATACATTTGGGAAACTCAGCTGCAGCAAAGGAAAATGGAGGTGATCTTGGTAAAAGAAAGGATGAACCATTAAAAGAGGAAAAATTATAACTAACTTCTGGAGAAATGGAAAGTGTCAGAAAAACTCAAAATAACACCGCCTTGATTCTGATTAGCATAAAATGGGGCAGAGTGAAACTCTGACAATAATCTGTTACTATAACCTACACAACAGCAATGGTGAACCTTTTTTGGCTCACGTGCCATAAGTGGGGGGAGCACAGGGGGGGTCGTGTGTGGGCATGTCGCACCCATAATGCAATGCACGACCCCTCCCCCAGTGCGCATGTGCGCACTACAGGAGCGACCCCCCACTTTTGCATGCTTTTTTCGCCCTTCCCAGGCTCCAGAGGCTTTATAGGAGCCTAGGGAGGGCGAAAACAGCCTCCCTCACCCACCCCCCGGAAGCCCTCCGGAGGCTTCAGGGACCTTCAGGAGGCTTCCTTGAAGCCTCCGAAGCTGTCAAAACGACCCACTGAGCAAACAGGAAGTCTGTTCCTGAAGTTCCAGTTTGCCCGTAGGGCCAGTTTTTTGCGCTCCCGAGGCTTCAGGGAAGCTCATGAAGCCTCGCGGGGGGGAGGCTCTTTTTGCTCTCCCCAATCTCCTGTAAAACCTCTGGAGCCTGGGGAGGGTGAAAAATGGCTCTAAAAAAGGGTGAACTCAGCTGGCCAGTGCACACTGGCCAGCTGACAGGGCAGCGCCTTGCGTGCCCTGACAAATGGCTCTGCATGCCACCTGTGGTACGTGTGTCATAGGTTCGCCATCACTGCCCTACAATAATACAGTAACATTCCTGGAAAAGTTGTAATGTCTGACCTGGTCCACGTCAAGAGGGCTGGCAACTGCCAAACCAGCACTGAACAGTTCACATAAGGAAGGTGCCATGTAGCAGAAGGACGATTCACTAGCAAGAGTCTAGCAAACCGGGAGGGGCAACGTCTCTAGCAGTGTCTTTGTGTGTTGTGTAAGGCCATTATGGTTTGTTTTCTCTGCATCTATGTCATACCTTGTAGTAAAGTTCTAGTTCTACTAAAGTTTTTGTTGGATAACACCTATGAGTCTGTGTTCATTTCCTTCATCAAAAACTGGGTGGAGCCACTCCAAAAGGAGGTTATAAGGCCCATTGATTAATTAGTATTCAGACTCAGTCCAATCAGAGTATGTACCGTGTCAATCCATGCATGGATGTTATCTCCACCCTTATTGAGAATCTTTATGTTCCATTAACAAATGCTACAATTTCTTTTTAGACCCAATTCATACTGCCAGTTTTTCAGTTTAAACTTTGGCCAGTTTGAAAGCAAGACATCTGCAGAATCATCACTTTAATTATTTGCCTCATAACTTTTATATTTGCTCCCAAAGATTTGGGTTAGTGCCATAATAGGTTCCTTTTGGCAGAAGGCCAAGCTGTTTAATTAAGGTGTGCCTTTTGTGTGTTTCAGTGAGGAGATCTGACTGCTATTTTATTTTAACTGCCGAGATGCTTTTATTGTTTTCAGCCAATTTCAAAGACGGCTATAAAACCTGTTTTATCCCAGGTGAGGTACATATTAGTTCATCTAGTCTGCTATTATCTATTCTGATCAATTCAAGCTATCTTTGCTTTTTAATTAGAGATGCAAGCATTCATCTTGGAACCTTAAGTATAAAAGCATATTCCATATGACTAAGAAATTACTCATTTCTTACAATGAAGAGATCTATACATATACACACACATACACAAATTTACCAAAGAACTTACTTTTCCTTATGTACTAAAACATAAAGCTGTGCAACACATCACATCAGTGTAAAGTCCAAAGTATCTTATTATTTTCATGTACAACACCACTAAATTTATACCATGGGTAACCTCAAGCAGGAAGATGAAAAAAAGATAAAGCATAATTACAAATATTTACTCTTCTCAAAATAAATTAGACATAGACGAAGAACGTTAAGGACTCTTACCAGGGGTGAGTTTCTGCCAGTTTTTACCTCTTCTATAGAAGAGGTTCCACAAATCTACAGTGCCATTTAGAACCGGTTCCAGCTCTCTTCCCCCGCCCATCCGCACATCATCAAGATGAAGAGCGAGAAGAGGAATTCTTGGAGTTGAAGTCCACAAGTCTTAAAGCTGTCAAGTTTGAACACCCCTGGGGGTTTTTTTTTCTAAAGGGTTGGGGTGCAAGGGTCTTGTAACTTGACAGCTTTAAGACTTGCGTGCTTCAAATGCCAAGACTTTCTGAGCCAACATTTTGGTTGCTAAGCAAGAGCATTGTTAAGTGAATTTTACCACATTTTTCAAGTTGGCCACACCCACCCAGTCACATGGCTGGCAAGCCACTCCTACCTAGTCACATGGCCGACAAGCCACTCCCACAAAGTAGGCCACACCTACAGAAGAGATTCTAAAAAAATTGAAACCAACCACTGACTCTTACCTACTGAAACAATCATGTGAGGGTTTGAAAAAGCAGGCCTATCCATTCTACACAACGATCATCTCCATCCCAAATGATCAGAAGTATCTTACAAAATTTATTGTTGCCATCTTTAAATGACATCTTGTGAAGCAGTAGCAACACACTTGACTTCAACAGGAAGTGAGAAAAAACTAAGCAGCTGGGAAACAGGATGCGATGTGTCTCACCAATTGAAAACTGTCCACCAGGACAGCTCTAGCATTTCTGCTGAACAAGTGTCTTTCTGCTTTCGTGCAGGAATTAAACTGCAGCCAATATTTGTAGAAAAATCTACCAATAGCAACCGTATGGTGTTGATCCCAAATCAGCACATATGCCCCATATGGAAGAACCTTACCAGATCATTGTGTCACTGGATGCTGAAGCTATTCATCCATCTTGCCTCTATCTCATTACTATACTGTCTTGATCTTATCAATATAGTGTTACTTCATTTTCTATCCTATCTTTCCACTAAAATTTCTGCTTCACTGTTGCTATGATATGCTGCAATTACAATCTACCCAAAGAAAAATAGATTTATTACATATCTAGAAGATGAAGGAGACATTTCTTTATTGAGAGACTTCTTTCAATGAGAATTTCCTCTTAAAAATTGATCTTTTTATCTCTTAAAAATGCTAGTATTTAGTACTTCCACAACAATCTGCTCCTCAAGAGAACACTTTAGCTGTTCAAGGTTTTATATATTGAAACTAGAGACAAGATATCTTTCTGTTGCAGTTTTCTAAAATGTCTACATCCAAAAGATGGAAGGCACTCTATTCAAGCATTTGTCTCAACCTGCAAGGTTTCAGGATAGATAGATGAATGAGACAATGTACATTGACCACATTCATACTTGATAAACATCGAGCAAAAATGTCTAAAAGAGAATTGCAATCTGTTATTTGAATGGGAGTATAGCTTTCTGCATAAATCGGAAGCCAGGATCATAGGAAAATCTCATTAATCAAATGTGAGCATAGCTCCTATTTAGATCTTTCAGCTGATGACATGGAGATCTGCAATAGTAGGTGCATAAATATAGGGATACTGGTGGGGACAGCACATACAGCTCCACGCTTTATTCAATTTGTCTTCACATATGTTTTACGGGGAAGGAGGTAATGGGTAGACTAGGTTTAGCATAAAATTGGGTCAACAACAATACAAAGTATCACAGGTCACCTACTGTTGAATCAGGATCTTCACTAGATTAATGTGTCCACATGTTGCTGCTGCATGCAGAGGAGTCCACAATTCATTGTCCTTTGCATTGGCATTGGCCCCATGGCTCAGAAGGAGTGTAACTATTTCTTCATAGTTGTCTATGCAGCACTGTTGAGAAATCAAACCAGGAATTTTAAGCTTTAATTTGTACAGATGATTTCTGCCCCCTGAAGCAATGGAGTGACTTTCACTTTATTGCCACCTGACAGAGCATTGATGCCTTGATAACATACAAATGATTGAAAGAGATACAGCATGTCAAGATGATGAAGACAAGCTTTGTGTTCGCAATGGAGAGACTTATGTTGCAATATGAGATGTAATCACCTAATCTTGTAATTGCATTTATTCTTCCATTCCATGATGCAAACCTAAACGGAAAGATTACCAACAGCTTTTGGCTAAGTCATTTTCCTTGCCTAGTATCTAGTTGTAGATACTAAAACATACTTCATAAAAAACTTCCACGCATAGGTTCAGAATTTGGAGTTAGTGAAACGTGGGCATTACTTTTCATAGGCAATATCCAATAGCCACCTGCCAACAGAGCCACCCAAAAAAATTTTTTTATTTCACTAATACAGAGGTTTTCTTTTTATAATCCAGTATTCATGAGAAAGTGTGAAATCAAAAGCTGAAAAATCAATCTGACACATACAAATGGAAGTGTGCACCCCAGGCAACGATATTCTGCAATGCTCTCTCCGAAATTACAAAAAAGTTTTAATTTATAAGAACTTCAAGTATCAATGTATTATATAGATAATACAAAGGGTACAATCTCTGGAACCATCTCACTTAAGATTTTGGCTCACAGTGGTGTGAAATGTATTAGCTGAAAGCTAAGCAATTTAAATGAAAATTCAGCGAGCTGTTAAAGAAGTCCATAGCACCGAGATTTTATTTGTATATTGTACGTGGCTCTGGAGCATCTTCTTCCTTTTTAGTACTTCTAGACTGCCTACCTGATGAATTCTGAGTGGTAAAAGAAGGAGCCCTCTTTTTATTTATCTTCATAACAAGCTTTCAAGTTGTACCCATGAATGAATGTGTCATTTGTTTAGATGCTTCACACTTCCTAATACAAGCATAGCAACTGATAACTCAGCACTTTTCTTAAGCATTCCTGAGTAATTTTCATTGAAACATACAATTGATTTATGACACCTTTGGTAAATTTAATGTCAAATGCTAGGAGCAAAAAGAGGCCAAATCTGAGTTTTTAAAATCCAATGCTCTTCTTCCATTTGCATAAGTGAGATAAAGCAGAGTTTTTCAAACTGTGTCCTGTGGAATCTAGGCAACTATGACAACTAGATGGGGGCTCCATGAGAAACTAAGAGCAAAGAGCTCATTCAAAAACATCTGCTTTTCTATCACTAGAGGTTTACCTCTTGATCAGACATTCTAGGAATTTTGATTTTTTTTTTAACTGACAACTTCCATGGCCTGAAAAATTTAAACCCCTAGTATAAAGCAACATCTCAGAATAACATTATTCAGAAACACTTACATTTACCGTGTTTCCTCGAAAATACAACATGTCCAGATAATAAGGCCATGCCACATTTTTCTGGTGGGCAAAAATATGAGCTCCCCACTGCAGATAAGCCCCCTGGACAACCCCCAACCTCTGACCAGGCAGAGTGCTGCTCACCAACCTAGCGGTATCCTGAAGGTGCCAAGCTGCAGGAACCGGGGGGGAGGCAAAGGTGATCGTGTTGCTTGGCGCCTTCGGGATACCACTAGGTTGGTGAGCAGTGCTGTGCCCAGCTGAAGAGGGGGGTTGCTAGGCGGCTGCTCTCTTGCGAGCAGGCTCCCAAAGAGCTGGGCATAGCCTCAGGAGTGAACAGTTGTGTTGTGCTGTCACAGCAACGCAACACAACAGCCATGAAGCAACCACGCTCATGAGCAGCCACCCGGCAAACCCCCTTTCCAGCTGGGCACAGCGCCATTCACTGACCTAGGGGTATAGCCAAGCCACGTGAGGGCCTGTTCGCCGCCACCAAACTGAATCTTCTGGCAGTGGCCGCTCTTGGCATACGCTCTATGGGTGTATGCTCTGCCCGCAGCTGGCCCACAACCATAGAGCGTACGCCCAGAGCGGCCACTGCTGGAAGACTCGGTTTGGAAGCCGCCAAAAAAGATATGCTGGGATGACAGCGGTGGTGGCAGTGGCAGTGGAGGTGCTCTGGCTCTGCGGGGAGAGCTGGGCCAGGACATCGTGAGGCTGGGAGGCGCACGAGCGGGAGCAGAACAGCCGCTCGCTCAACCCCCCTCTCCAGCTGTGCAGAGCACCATTCACTGGCATTTTGAAGGTGCCAAGCAGCGGGAGCTGAGCAGTGACAAACAGGTGCTCATGCAGCTTGGCGATACCCCTAGGGCAGTGAATGGCACTGTGCCCAACTAGAAATGGGGTTTGCTGGGTGGCTTCTCGTGAGCATGGTCGCTTCATGGCTGTTGTGTTGCGCTGCTGTGACAGTGCAACACAGCCATTCGCCCATGAGGCTGTGCCCGGCTCTTTGGGAGCCCGCTTGCAAGAGAGCAGCCGCCCAGCAACTCCAAAACAATAAACCCTCCCCTCATAATAAGGCCCAGACCATATTTTGTGGGTAAAAAGAAAATAAGATCCTGCCTTATTTTTGGGGAAACACGGTATCATTAAAAATCTATGAACAAATTCAGATTATATGAATCTCAAGGCATTCCAAAGAACTTAAATAATAATTCCAAGCTTAAAGAGAAATCTCAAAATGATGCCTCCTGCCCCAAAAATCTACTAGCCCACTGATTTCAGGACCGGTGTGTGTGTGTGTGTGTGTGTGTTTGTGTGTGTGTGTGTGTGTGTGTGTGTGTGTGTTTGTGTGTGTGTGTGTGTGTGTGTGTGTGTGTTTGTGGAATGGAAAAAGAGACAGACTT